CTCAGCAACAGCACCGCTCACTTTAAGGCTGGGTCTCCCCGCATTGATTATAGCAATCAATATGATTCCCTGCACACCAAGCTGATCTAGGAATCCCTTGCAGAAAATTTCTCCCCAGATGAGGCTAGGTTGTATCTGGTGAGAATTTAAGCTAACCATCATTATACTTCTGTGCAATTCAGTCTTCCCCAAGTTACAATTTCTGGCAACAAAAAGCCAAGGAAATCCCCATGAAGCTCTTGGAGCGATGACTGAATGTTGTCTGCTCTGCAACCCACGGGTCTGACTGCTGGCAATGCCAGCCATTTTCTTTTAAAACAATTCCCCTTGGGGCTTGTATTGCCACCTTGTTTTAATAGTGGCAATCAATTTCTTTCCTGTCTTCTTGCTGGTTATCAGTCCACAGTCTCCTTGCTTGATGTTGCTTGAGAAACCAGTTCTCAGCATCATTGCTGTTCCTTGTATGCAATCTGCATTTGTTTCCCTCTCTAGACAACTCAAAGATGTTCATTTTCGGAGTTCTGCAGCTTATGTTATACTCAAATGTGGATTATTTTTGTGGTATCATGGTGGATCCATACTTTTCCCATTATCCCTAAACATTCACAGCTGTGATGTCATCATGCTTTGCTTCTCTTGGTACCTCTTATCAGGGACAGCTCTCTTATTTTTTATCTTTCTCTTGTGCACTCTGGGTGATCTCTTTAGGTTTTTCTTCCTGTTTACAAAATCTTCCTTTTACTGAGTCTATTCTGCTGTTTAATCTTTTGGAGGAACATTGATCACGCATTTTCATTTCCATGTTCCTAGCTCAGAGCTTTAAAAGAACCTTGAAATTTATGATAGTGACATCTCTGCCATTAATAAAATAATTCATTGAGCCCTGGATATTTCAGGATGGGGAGGGTTGGGCTTTCAGCCACTTGATCTCCATGGAGAAAATGGGACTGGGAATTAAGTTTGGTCACATGACTAATAATTACCAACCATGCATGCACACCGAGCTCCAGTAAAAACTCCAGGCACTGGACCCAACTGAGCTCTTTCCTGTAGACGCTCTCACGCTTCCCTTATAGACCATCTCCATTCCTGTATGCCAGATGCTGATACCTAGAAACACTTTCTGACCCCCAGTGGCCAAATTAGGAGGGGACTGAGATTTCCACTAGCCTTCCTGTCCTCCATTACGATCTCTCCAATCTCATCACCAGCCCTTCAGCAGTCCACTCACATGCTCCTCTCTATTCCCTGGAGACGTCACCACTTGGTACAGACCCAGGGTCCCCTAGACCTTTCATCCTTGTCTCTCTAAACATATTCATTGTGCTACTACAGCCTACCTGCAGGAGCTCCTCCTCCTACTCCAACTCCCTGGGAACCCTGCCTCTTGGTGTGAACCTAATTCTCCTAGATCTTTCCAACAACCCCCTCAGCCTTATCTCCTAGATGATCTCTATTCCTATCCACCACTCACCAACCTGCAGGTGCACCTCCCACCAGGCAACCTTCAACCACCCCGTTTTCCTAAGATCCAGAGAGGCCAATAGCAACCAAAGAATGGAACACCCAACCAACAAAGACAAGATCTAGAACCATCTCAGCCATCACGACTCCAGATGCCTAGACACCAGCACAACATTAACAGCCAAGACAAGATGCCTCTACCAGAATCCAGTACCCCTGAGAAATGTAAGATATCTGAAGCACAAGACAAGGACTTCAGAATAGCCATTCTGTATATGTTCAAGGACCTTAAAGAAGAAATAGGTAAATTCTTTGATGAAGTCTATGAAAACATAAAGCACTGGATGAAATAATGAAAACGATTCAAGACATGACAGTAGAATTTATGAAGAAATTGAATCATTAAAGAAAATCCAAAATGAAATAAAACCGGAAATGAAAAACTTACGGAGTCAAACAAAAACCTCAGGGGTAAACCTCACTAACAGATTGCAAGACATGGAAGAGGACATCTCAGATGATGACAGTAGGAAACCACAGTGAAAGTGATCTCGCAGCCTGTGGCTTCATAAGTCATTTGCTGTAAGAGAAAGCACTAGAAAGTGCCCACTTTACTAAAGCTGAGCAACAACGGAATTAACCAGCCTCAATGTGATACGTGGAATTTATACCTGGGATCAGAAATATTGAGGCAAGCCTACTTTTAAATAGGCTTTCTTTGGCTTCCTCAAATAACAACACCATGAATGGAAAGAACCCCAAAAATACAAATTCTCTGCAATTTAGCAAATGGAGGGACAATGAAAAGTCTAATAATAAACTTGAGACAGACTAAATACTACCTAATTAGCACACTTGAGCCAAAGGCAGAAGAAAAACATGTAATTAAGTCTGAATAGTTTAGGAAGAAATAAAAATGGTGCAGTAATAGCTAAATCAACCAGAATGAAAAAGGTTATAAAAGGAAATCTCCAGTTGACTCCTCCAATAGGAGGATGTGGAACCAAACAGAAAGGCCTGAAAGGAAAGGAGGGGACATACAGTGTAAGACAGAAACATGAAGGTGACGTGACGGTTGCTTCTTCAGGAAGACTGTAGAGGAGTTATCCCATAGTAGGTAAAAACTAAAGAAACAAAAATCCAGTCCCACAATCCATCCATTTCTTCCTAAGCACACTGCTGGAGGGAAGGAACCTTTTGATGTGTGACTAAGGTTTGGGAGATTTGGCTCTTATAGCTGGCACACTTATGACCTGTGGAGGGAGACCTTGTCATATCCAAACTGTAGGTCAAGTCTAAGTCTTTTGTATTACGAGAGATGTAGGACTCTCTTGCAAAGATGGTGGCCATCACAGTACCCTATCCTCTAGGAAACCCTGGTCTTGGCCCACCGATTCATTCTCCAGTTTCTAAGTCTTTTTGTTTTTTCAATTTAGCATCAGACTCAAGCTAAGTTCAAGCACACCCAACCTAAGAACACTCATGTGTCAATTGACAAGGGTGAAGATGTGTTCTGAGAAATTTGTCACTTGACAATTTCATGGCTGTCTGAGAACTGCAGTGCACAGGTCTAGGTCTGCCAGGTGGCCACTCCAGGGAAATACCTGGAGTGATAAAAAAAATCCTGTAGAAACAATGTGCATGAGGCTGAGGCTAGTATACCATAGCCTCATATTATTGAATAGTGAACTTCTTCAATAAGGAAAGTTCTAAATAAAATAAACAAGATGAAAAATAAACCTAAAATAATGATAAAAATAGCATAGTAACTCATGAACTAGCACCATGTTTGTTCATTAATATTATTTGAAAGGCTAACCTTGGTTGTCAACCAGACTGCATCTGGAATCAACTAAAACCCTAGCTGTTGGCACTCCTGCGAAGGATTTTCTTGATTGAACCATTTGAAGTCAGAAGACACACCCTGTTGGGTCCCAGGTCCCCATGCCGTCTCTGAGTTGTTTGTTAGCCAATAGCCACAGGTGCGTCCTGTTTTCTAGTCCTGGGTTACAGCCCCGGCCTTGCCCCACTGGCATCAATGAAAACACAAAACTCTTACACCTGGGGTTTTTCCACTGTGCTGTAAGTCTGTATATAAGGCTGCTCTCTCCTTGCAATAAAGGTAGCACACACACATTTTCTTAGCACAGACGGCCAGATGGGCCTTGTCTTTCATTTAAATCTCCAGGCTTTCACCTGACACATTAGACTTGCTTATGGTGCAGTCGCCACAAGTGGAGGTCCCACCGTGATCAGGAAAGAAAGAGGACCCTGAGAGATCGCCCTTGGCGGTTGGCCAGCAAGTAAGGATTTATGAGGGTGAATTGAAAATGGGTACCAAGTTACACAAAGAAACACTGTCTTAAAAAAGGAAAAATTAAAAGAAATAGATAATTAAAAAGCCATATAAAGATGGAAGTACACAGAGAGTATGGATACTGTATATTATTGTGCTTTCTTTGAGTTGTTTAATTGCTAAGGAAGGAACAACTGTTAAAATACACTTGGTTATACGTGCTGCTGAATTAATCCAACTTAAATATTTTGAAAATGCTTTGATTTCTAAATTTAAGTATACAGACAGGTTACTTGGGAAAAGAATTTCTGCTTTGGTTTCCACAGAATATGAAAAACTGTGGATTCCTTCCAGACTAATATGGTTTGATGAAGCAGTGGCCCAGGTGATCAGACATTCAAAACAGCTAGGACAAGGTAGCCTTGCAGACCACTACAGCCAGGATTTCTGGATTTTCTTAGGATCCCCATGGTATTTCAGTGCCACCCAACAGCAGGAAGCAGTTTGGAGAGAATGACACCCACATTCCCAAATATTGTTTGTTTGTTTTCATTTAAATGGAGTTGGTTATAGATGGCAGGCTGTTCAATCAAAGAATGGGCTGGGTCCCTATCTCTGGGCCTTGTAGCCATAGGACTTACCATATGCCTCATTTGGCTAAGGCACCTCGGCACTAGACAAGTCCAGGCTCATATTTGTCACTTGAGGGTCACAGAGAATCCTTCAGCTCAACTATGTTGAGCCTACAAAAAACTTAGGCAGCTTGCCAGGGTGTTGGTGGTGCATGCCTTTAATCCCAGCACTTGGGAGGCAGAGGCAGGTGGATTTCTATGAGTTTGAGGCCAGCCTGGTCTACAGAGCTAGTTCCAGGACAGCCTCCAAAACAATAATACAGAGAAACCCTGTCTCAAAAAAACAACAACAACAAAAAAAGATTAGGCAGCCAATGATGGGTAAGACTAAGGGAATGCCAGGCAACCTAAGACAGGAGAGTCATGCAGCCTGGTTGATTTCTCCATTAACAGATAAGGGTGGTGTTAACTTCCTAATCACCTAAGACAGGTGCTAATTTATATATAAAGTTGGGCCCCAGCCCCCACGTGGTCTCTGAGTTGTTTGTCAGCCAATAACCACAGGTACAGCCTGTTTTCTAGTCCTGGCTTACAGCCCCGGCCTTGCCCCACTGGCATCAATGAAAACATAAACTCTTACACCTGGGGTTTTTCTGCTGTGCTGCAAGTCTGTATATAAGTGTGTGTGCTCCCTCCTCACAATAAAGGACGCACACACATTCTCTTAGCACAAATGGCCAGATGTCTTGTCTTTCATTTCAATCTCCAGGCGCCACAACACCCTAAACCTGGGTGGCAGCTTCTAGTGGCATTCCACACAAAAGAACATAGAAGGACATTTTGCTTTTTGCCTGCCTGCCCCCATTCTTGCTAGCAGGTTCATCTATCCTGTCGCTAAAGCATCCTTTTACCAGTACTATAACAGATTTCTGGAATTCCAACATCAACTGAAGACCAGCAACTCTCCAGGAATCCTCCAGGCCTCCAGTGCCAGATGGGGTCTGATAAGACACCCATTCTCATGGATCAAACTACCAGATCCTCTTTCAGCCTCTTTCAGCCAGTGGGAGACAGCCATTGATGGACTACCAGGACCTCATCCCATAAGCCAATCTGATAAGTCCTCATTAAATGTAAGTATGTATATTCGTTCTATCTGTTCTGTTCCTTTAGAGAACCCTGGCTAACACAATCATCAAGCATAAAGTAGCATATATGATGGTGTTATACACTGGTAGTTCAGTAGGCTTCCTTTCAGAGTTCCAGGCACACACAAAGGATATGCTGGACTGGGCTGTGATGACAGCTGCATCACTATGTAACAGGAATTCTTCAGCTCCCTTATAATCTTATGAGGCTGTTTGGTATGCAGTCTAGTGCCATCTGTAAACTCATTATGTGGTATACAATTATAACCTTAGCTATAAAATCATTTAATTACACAGAAATATAGGTGCTGGTATGAACTACTTACACTCACGGAACTCATACATGAAGGAAATCCAAAAAAACACAAGCACAATGGGGAGGAATTTCCTCATTTCTGGGATGTTTTACCATTACTGTTAGGTCTCAAACCTGGGAAAAATGGCTGAGACGCCCACTGACATACCAAAGTGGATGATGGCTACCAGGTTCTCCCAGCATCCCTCAGTCTCTACGTATTATAGAGCCTTCCTGCCTGGCATAACCTGCTCCCTACCCTGAACTCTCCAGCCCAGGCATTGGGTTGGGCTTCCTTCCTTCCAGCCCCTCTGGCCCCTCTATAACTCCGCCATTTTAGCTACGTCAGTCTCTTTGCCAGTCTCTCAGCCCAGGCTACCACCTCTTGGTCTCTTGGTTGGTAGCTCCTCTCTTCCCTCCCCCTTCTCCCTCTGCTCACATGGCCTGGCAAAGGGTCATGCTCATTCTGGACTCTCCCAGATGTCTCTGCCTCTGGCTATGCTCTCTCTCATATCTACTAAACCTTTCCACCATACCTAGGAGCAGTCATGTCTTTCCCTTTTTATTTTTCATTCATTCAGATGGTGTACTGCTGATTGATCTATTTAGAACACCACCAGGGTTTCACTCTTCCCAGGTCTAAGGCCAGGAAGTCAGGGTACCAGTGTTACTGAATTATGATGAGGGTTCTCATCTGGTCATAAACTTCTTTTCCCATCTTTACACAGCAGAAAGTTGTTAGCAATCCCCCTTTAAGGACTCTAATTCTATTTGTGAGGCCTCCACCTTTGCAACCTGCCCAGATTCCAAAGGCCCCACATCCTAATCCATGGGGAAGAGAGTTTCAACATCAGGCTATTTCGGACACACACATGTTTGATCTTCATAGTCTCTAAGAGGGCTGCTGCTCCCATTCCATGACAGATTGAGGCGTGACTCGCAGCCACAGTTGCAGAGTGGGACACCAGGGCCTCTGTGCAAGCCTTGACAATGATGGATCGCCGAGGGAACCCTCAGTGCATAGCTCGGCCTTCTTCATTCTCGAAAGAGCAGTGGGATCATTTCCCTGTCACGAGAGTCATTCATTATGTTCCTAAACACTTGGCAGTCTTTGCAAACAAGTACTCAGAGTTAGGAGCTGTCCCCCATGACGCTTCATGGATAAGTACCTGGAAGGTGACCTGCAGACCTGAGGAAAGCCACATAAACATGTATGGTGACTTCAGATTAGTCATTCCCCCATGGCTATTTTCTTGCCTACTAATGTGATCAGATCTGCCTCATTGCCTGCTTCTCAAGGTGGCTTTCTCGGGTGGAACTGTTTTTGCTCCTTAACTAAGCCTGGAGGTAGAGCGCAGCAGGAAGAAGCCAAGAGAAGGGCCTCCTCCTCCTTTCAACTCATGGCAGTATTTTCTTAATGTCTTTCCCAACAAATCATCCTTCGTCAATATCCCAGACCAGGAAGCTGCAGCAGATAATTTCTGCATACCTTGGTTTAAGTTTATGGCCAACTGAGAGTTAACACCAGTTCTAGGCGCACCTAACCTGACTCATGGTTCTGAGGCATTGTGGTCCTTCCATGGCCGTGCTCATGTCAATAAAATACATTCACTCAAGACTTCATCCAGTTCACGAAGTTGCCCCTATCTCTCCCTGCTTTCCCTGCTTTCTTTCCTTTAGCAATAGTACCCCCAGAATCTTATCAGGGCACCAGATAACATATCCCACTTTCCCTGCAGGTAGGTATGGTTATGTGACTAAGTTCTACCAGAACAAATTGCAGGTTATGACCTTTAAAGAAGGATGGGGATGTCACTCTTCTGGGGGTGGTGTGGAGCACTTGCTTAGCATGTAGAAGGCCCTCAGTTTGACCTCTAGCACTGAAAACAAAATGAACAAAACCCCCAGACTCCCACAACCTTAAAAGAAGAGTCTTGAGGCATCCCTGTCCCCTTCCATTTTACTGGCGCCCATGGAATTGGTAAGGAAGTAGACAGCTGATGCTGAGTGAGCGCAGGCTATATGTCTTGCACACATTGTTCCACTAAATTTTATAGCAACTTGCTGAGGCATGCTTCATCTTCTCTGTTTTTGGAGATGGGCAAATCGAGGCAGAAATGAGTTCTATCTTTGGGCAAGAACAAGCTGGAGAGAGAGCCTTTGTAAGAACCTGGACTCCAAAGCCCTCTGTCCCTAGACTGTAACAGCTTCTTACACTAGCTTCAGCAGGATAGAATGACACAGTAGAAGTTTAACTTGGATGTTGTTCCAGCATCCAAGTTTTAAGATTTATAACAGCCTTTTGCCAGTTTGCTTAAGAAGTTAATTGAAAGAATTTTCTTTTCTCCTATTATCTTTTCTTAAGCTTTGGTGCCTATAATCCCTTATCTGTCAGTGATATCAAAATCAACCATCCAAAAATGAGTTGAAAATTTGGGAAGGATAATGAACAACTCTTTATGCTCTATTCAGTACATTTGCTTTTGTCCTAAAATAAATGTTACCAGTGTTGATCTAATACTGTATTTGTGTTCTGAGAACCCTGGGACCTCACAAGGAGGTCATTTATATAAGGTCAATTTTAAAAAGAGTTTGAGACTGGATGTCTTAAGGTGAACCGTCTATCTACCAGGGAACAACAGGGTGACCCCACCTCCAAATTAGCCAAGACACGCCAGGGGTGATAAAATTAATTTCCTATTCAGAAATAGCCGATCATGTTCCCTCTTTAACCTTTATAAGTAGCTTGTCTATCCTGGTATCTATGAGGGACAGCAGCAGTACTGGGTGACTCAATGATCACCGGTCTCCCACAGAAAACACCTCCTTTTCATTAAAGAAGGAGGGAAATTAGGTCACTGCTTGAGAGCCATGGAAAGGAATTGTTATGCTGCAAACAATTATATAAAAGCCGCCGGGCCCCACTGAGAATCAACCTCCCGGGACAATAAGGAAAGATGAGAAGAGAGAGCTTTGTAAACAGCCTGGTCTGAGACTCCATAGCCCTGCTGAGAGGCCAAATTCTTCCTGCAGGTAGCCCTTTATTCAGTCTGTCCTCTGCTAATTTACCCACCATTTACACAGCCCTGCTCTGTGCTGCCCAGGGCTTTGCAAGGCTCCTGGATAACCGGGGATAAATAAGCTGGCCGGTCTCCTGGAACACAGGAGTGCCACAGAGAATTTATCAATTGTGACCCATAGAGAGTGTAGGGCGGGGGCCACAAAGAAAACGGGTCGGGAGCCTTTGGGAGAAAACGGTTTAGATACTACATTGTCGTGATGTCCAAAAGGATCTTGAGGTACGACACAGGCGGGAGAAAGAGACATGGGTGATGCTTCATGAGAATTAAAAGCTTTTGTGCATCAAAGGACACTACCAAAGCAGTGAGAAGACAAATCAGGAATAATGTTAGCAAAGTATATGTCCACCAGGGGACTGCTATCCAGAACACTTGGTGAATTTCCACAACTTAACAACAGCAAACAAACACGTCCCTTTAAGAAAATGATCAAAGGATGTGAATAGGTATTCCTCTTAGAAAGATATGCACGTGGCCAACACTTACATGGAAAGACACTTGGCCTCACTGATCATTAATAAGTAAAGCAAGGCAAAACCACGTGAGATACTACTTCACACTCAAGAAAATATTTACTTAAAATAAAACAAAAAAAAATGTTGGCAAGGATGTGCCCAAACTGTAACCCTTTTGTATTGTTGGTAGTATGGAAGTTTCTCAAATAGCTACCCACAAAATTATCAGGTAGTGGCCATCACCTAAAAGGATTAAAAAGAATAATGTTCTTCTAGCAAGTACCCATGCATTCACGGTTCATAGACCATTTTGCACATCAACCAATGGTGGATACAGTCCAAGCGCTCATCAATGAGAGAACAGACAATCAAATGCAGAGCATCCAATCAACCACAGACTGAAAGCATTTTTAAATTCCTTGTGTCCCTATGGACTATGTTCAAACTTTATCCCCTAAATGACACGGTAAAACAACTACTTATGTAGACTTTGCATTGCATTTGGTATTTTAATCAGTATAGAGATGAATAAAATATACTAGAAGGTGAGTATAGATTCTATGCAAACACTTTACTGTTTTGTATAAGGGCCTAGAGCCCATCTCTATGGCTGTGGGGAGATGGCCATACATATGATAGGATGTTATTCAGTCTTGTAAGATCTGACTTGTTAGTCAGCTTTTAACATTATGGGCTGCAAATCAGAATTCCTGCCAAGACGCTGTCTCTCCTAACGCTGATTAATTAGAATTTCAGCAATGCAGAGAGGTTGGAATGTTACAGACCCTGAATCTAATGACAATTTATCTTGGGCTGTCATTCGTCCCCTAAAAGCCATTCCTGGTTTACTCTTGTATTGGACCTAGCACCCTGTATCTAGTGGATAAAGGCAGACCTAACATCTTGATAAACAAAACCTTTGGGATATATTAACAAACCCTATTCTCCACCATCAAAAGGTTAAGAATGTTATCAGGTAGCATCTAAGGCCAACAGCTGAGACTTCTACACCTGACTGTAACCCACCTCTCTGATGTTTCCACCAACGTGTTTTTAAAATCTGATTTATGGCTTTCTTTGTTCTGTTACTATAAAACCTTCATGAAATCACTTGCCCATTGAAAGACAGAACTTGGGATCACTGATAAACCAGGC